ATTCTAGGCCTCATCTAGTATGGCTTCACCCTCACTAATTACATCTCTAATGACCCTATTTCCAAATACAGTCACATTCTAAGATCCTGGGGATTAGGACTTCAACATATGAATTTTGGGGGACACAAATCTATAACAGAGAAGGAAGATAGGTCTTACATTTCTGTTTAGACCTTTAGAAAAATTCAACAGCTCAGAAGAAACTTTATCAGGAGGCTGAAAAGCCAGCATGAGTAGAGATGACTGTTACTTGATGCTATTGAGATAGAAAAGAGAGGGCTGTGCTAGCAACCTTCTAATTGTCCTCTGACCCTTAAAGTTCTAGAGCTCTCCAAAAGAACTTCATTTCCTACTTTTGGAACCTAGCAGGGGGAAGGGCGTCTCCCCTAATTGGGCTGAATTTGCCCGTAAACAATTGGAGTGGGAGCATACGGCAGTTGGATAGAGGCTGACAGGCTGTGATAAAGGAGGGTGCTGATGGGGCCCTGCCAAAGCAGAAGTACCATGTGAGCATAAACTTCAAGGAAGAGAAAAGATGGACTGGAGAGAAGGATATACAAAATCAGTGGGAAACAGGCAAGGAGAGAGTGGCTATGTCCCATGAGTTTGGGGCCCTAGAGGGGATCTCTACATACTCTCTGGCTAGTGTCCTACAACCACCGTGGGTCCAGAACACCTGTCTAGTTCCAGTCTGTATGAGGTCTTTCCTGAACCTATCCCATTGCCCTCAATATTCCTCATGCATCCTTACACCTACCTGGGCCGCTGCTCTACCAACTCAGAGACACATTAGAGTACATGGGTTAGTCATCAACAAATCCAATGTAACACCTCAATGAGGGTATGCAGTACCATTACCTCCAGAAAATGAGTCACCTCTACTGCCCCTTTCTATACACTGTGAACTTTTTAAAAACAATATATCTTATGGTCTTATTATCCTAGGGTCACATGATATATACCCTAGACATCATTTAGAGCAGCATGTCTCAAACATGAATGGGATCTTGTTAAAATTCAGATTCTAATATATCAGGTGGGTGGGTGGGGTGGGGCTGAGATTCTGCAATTCTTATAAACTCTTATGCAGGCTAGTGGCCACACTTTGAGAAGCATAGATGTGGCTATTTTTATAGAAGAAGAAAGTGAGGAATGGAGAAACTTAGTGACTAGTGTGAAGTCTCGCAGCCAATGAGGGACAATATCAAGGTTAGAATTCAGGTCTTCCAGCTTTCAAGCTCAGTTCTCCACTTGTTCATGCTAATCCTTAAAAAACAATTCCTGTACAGAAGAAGCAGACCTCCTTTCATGCAATGCCAGTCATCTCATGGAGATGGAGATGTGGACAGGCCAGTAGAAAAGCCTGTCACTCTGAGTGATGATTCCATTCATGGGCTTCCTCCCAAGTGGAGCTTGTGACAGCTCTGCTTGGAAGAGAAATTGTAGCTGGAAGGACACAAAGGCCTTGATGGGCCTGGCTATGTTCCAATAAAATGTTATTTGCAAAGAGAGCTGCTGAGCTGGATTTGGCTTGTGAGCCAACATTGGCTGACCCCAGTTCTGCGGCTGACTTATTGTTTAGTGTTGATGAGAGCCTAGCCCAATTTTTACCCAAGGAGAAATTCAGTTGCTTGATACTAGCAATGAGTGTAACAATTTAAGGATCTAACTGTTACATGTCCAAATTTACTCTAATCAAACAGCTTATTTCATCAATTCTTTTACAAATCTTATAGGGCTTTGCATTCAGAGGCTTAGATTTCATAGGATCTCAAAATGGATGTAGGAACAAAAGCTAAGGAATGATTTTGGAGGCCATGGTTGGTGATGAGAAGGGAGGAAAAGAGGTAGTAGAAAATCTAGCCTGAAAATATTTATGTTGTTAGGTACAAACTTAGTTCTGAGCTTCCTGGAAGCCAAGGAAAAGAGCAAACACTAATGGGTTAATATCATAGGGTGGATTCCCTAGACGCAGAGCCAGAGGCAGGGGCTTGGGTGCTCCAGACACATTGAGGAAGAACTCTCAGGAGAAACCTGTGTGTGAGGGAGTAAAACAGGGGAGGCAAGGAAAGGAACCCCCAACTGATGTGGTCGTAAGTAAAGGTAAGCATTGATTGGCTTGACTCACTAGGGGTCCTGGAGCATAAATTTCACACCAGAGTGGTCCCTGCAGAGGACAAGCAGGCTGGCTGTTTCTACCTCAGATCAGTCCACCATTGTCCATGGGCTGCCCTGTGGGTGTGGGTGTGGACAGAATCTTCTGGGTGAGAAGAATCCCATCAGCTAGGGCAATTCTCCAGGAAAGGAGCAGCTGTGAGTCATCAGCAGCAAACACAGCAGCTGGGGTGGGCCACCAAAGACCTTCACTACAGTTACAGACTTTTACATGATTTTCAGCCACCAAATTTCATTTACATATTAATTCTACAAATATTTATTGAACAGCTGGTCTACCATGTTTTTAAATCCTAGGCTATTCCTGAGGAGTAGCTGGAGAAGAAAACGTGTTCTTGACCTCAGGAAACGTATTTTAAAAAGTAGCCTTTACCATTAAAAAAAAGACAAGAGATAACAAGTGTTGTGGAACTTGTGGAAAAATGGAAACCCTTGTGCATTGTTGGTAGAAATGCAAATTGGTACAGCCACTGTGGAAATCAGTATGGAGGTTCCTCAAAAAATTAAAACTAGAACTACTTTATGACCCAGCAATCTCACTTCTGGGTATACACAGGGTATGGTAAACATAGGTTTACAGTTGTTTGTATAGAAAACAATATGATAATTAATAAAAAACAATATAAGAATAAACTCTGTGTTTTGAGTACTCACAATTGTAAACCTACTTTTGCCCTGCCCTATATACTCATAGGACATGAAATCAGTATCCTGAAGAGATATTTATTGTAGCATTATTTACAGTAACCAAGACATGGAAACAGCCAAGTGTCCATTGATGTGAGAATGGATAAAAGAAAATGTGTGCGTGTATACACACATATATATATTAGAATATTATACAACCATAAAAAGAAGAAAATCTGCCATTTGTAATAACATGGATGGAATTTGAGGGCAGTAAGTGAAATAAGTCAGACAGAAAGTACAGTATGATCTCACATATGAAATCTAAAAAGCTCATAGAAACAGAGTAGAATGGCTGTAGTCAGGGGATACAGTGGTGGGGGTAGAGGGATGGGAAGATGTTGGTCAAAGGGTACACATTTCCAGTTATACAATAAATGCATGAGTTCTGGGTATCTAATGCATGGAATAGTGACTATAGTTAAAAAAATACAATATTTGGTATGTGGTAACTCTTCAAAGAAATGTAAAAGAAAAAGTAATCTTCAGCTGTTTGGTCTCATTTTCTTTAATATTTTTACCTTTTCAGGCTACTGTTAAAAATACAGTGTTTTGTCCATGCATGTATTTTAGTGTCATAAATGTACAAGTAATGAGTTTGTGGTTTCTATATACAGAGTGAATAATTTAAACATATACACAGAATGGATTCATTTTACAACTTATTTCTAATAGTGCTAGTTTATGTACCTAGATATGGCTGTAGCCATTTTATCTATTTGAAATTTGTCAAAATCTAAGAAGCAAAATTTTAATGATTCCTAAAATGGATTTTCCAAACTCCATGTTCTAAACTTCTCACACTTGTTTGTCCCCTCGCTTAGGACCTAATTACCCCTACTCTATGCACCACTGTTGCAATCTTTGGGATGCGATTCCCACATGATGGCCGATTAAGACAAGCAAATGAAGGTACAAAGAGGACATTAGTGTCAACCCCATGGCAAGTCCAATCCTTAAAAATGACCAAGTGCGGCAAAATGACTGTGTATCCGTGTAATGTGTGTGATGTCACCAAGTGGGAGTAATTCTGAATTCGGTACATTGCAGAACATGTGAAAACACAACATTTTGGTAATTCAAGTCACAAGTGTTCCAGCTGAGGCCCAGGAACGGTGGAGCACAGACCAGCATCTCCACTGGGCCCATCTGAATTCCTGAAGTGCTGTGCTTCATGCCACAAAGTTTTGGGGTTGTGGGTTTAACTTCCATAATGACTAAGGCAAGCATCAGCCCTGTGGGGCATTTCATAGTTCCAAGCACTTGTATAGTTATCTCATTTACACCTAACAATGATTCCAGGAGGAATGTATTGTTATCACCATTTTACAGGCAACAAAACTGAGGCATACTGAAGTCACGTCACTTGCTGATGGACACTCAGACACTGAGTAGCGCAACTGGGACCTGAACCAAGAGACTCTGATCCAGCAGCCTGGCTGTCTTGTCTGGGGTGGCCCCTGCTCTGAGATCTCGGAGAGGGACTTTTCTTTGCCTCGCTGTGCAGCCACTCACTCCAACAGTGATACACATTTTTTTGGTTTCTCTGAGCTCTGCCTTGTCCTATCTCCTTGGCTTTTTCCCTGTGCTAATGTCAGGGAGCTGTGGCCATGGAGACCCGTGGCTCAGACCTCTGCCTGGTAGCGCCCTAGGTTTACTGCCTCTGCGGCAGTGCCTGCCTCTACTTCCATTTTGCACAGATGCCCCATCGCGGGCAGCAGGGCAGGGATGGGGGTGGGGGAGGGGTGGGGTGTGTTAGTGGTGAGGGGGAGGTGGTGTGTGTGTGTGGGGCCTTGTTGTCCTTACTTAGGCGCCCCTTCCTGCAGGCACCAGGGCACTGTAGGACCCTCCTTCTCAGGCACCAGGCCTGCATCAGTTTGCATCTAAAGGTGCCCCCTGCCTCCCCCGGCCACCTCCCCTGTGTCCTTCACAGGTGTCCTTTTCAAAAACCTGTACTCCTAAGCCTACTTTGGGGTCCATTTTTTTGTAGAAGTTGAGCTAATGCAAAGGGTGACAGCCACACCATCGACCCCCGCCCTGCCATCTTCACCTTTTCCTCCTCTATCATCACCTTTTCTTCACCTCCTGTGCCCCCCATCCAGTGTTGGGCCAGGGTGTGGCAACAGGAATGATTTTACCTTGTTCACACCATCAGCCATTGCCTGTAGCGTGAGCTCTCGGGGCCCATCCACCGTCTTCCCGTTGTCTGTTGGGCCCCAGCTGGCACTGTAGATGTCGATCAGCTGGGGCATGTGGCTGATGGAAGAGGCCTCAATAATATCTGTCATAAATGGCTGGTCCAGCATCCGGATACCTATGGACATGGGTGGCAGGTAAATACAGTATTTTGGTCCCCGATTCACAGGAGACGGGTTGAGGAGGGCTCATATCCCAGGTGCAGTTGGTGGGCCCACCATCCTGGGTACCCTAGTTGCCTTGGGGGGCCCTGTGAGATCCTGAGTCCCACTTGGGTGTAGTGTGTGGTTTACAACTTCAGATGATCAGGGAGAAGGTACAGACTGGCCCACCCAGCCTTTTTGGATCCCACCCTCACTTTATGTAACTATTTGAACATGACTATATTTTCCTAGTAAACTTTACTAGAATTTCCTGTGGGGAGAAAATCACTTTTGCTCAAGACATTCCTGGATAAGTTTGTTCCTAAGTGGAAGGTCAGCCTTCAAGGACTAGATATTGACTGGAGCCAAGTTTCAGAGGGGAAATAAAGCTACTGTGCATGACAGTGAGGGGGAGGCAATAGATAATAGATATTTAAGGAGAAATCCCAGAGGGCAGAGGGCAGGCAGTGGGGGCGGGGCAGGGATAGTGTATAAGTGCAGGTTCAGGAAAAGAGGAACTTTCAGTTGCATTGTATCTGAGAAGGGACTTTGGGAAGGACAGAAAGGCTGCATAGCTTATTCTAAAATACACTAATGATGAGTGCATGATACAATGTCCTCCTCTTTGTCCCCTATGGCATCTTTGTAAGGTTGGTGTTACTCTTTGATGCCTTGTGGGAGTGACTTCTTGCCAAGCTCAAGGAGCAGAGTCCTGCAGTCCTGGGTTGTGAGTGTGTGTGGAGAAAACCTAGCTGGGCAGAGGGACACAGAGAAGGGACCAGCCTCTGGACACCTGTGGTTCACATAATCCCTCAAAAGCCTCTCCAGAGTTAAGTTGTCAGCAGCCAATGGAATGGACTTTCTGTCTCTCCATCATTAACCTCAAAACATTGGTGTTTGGGGCCATATTATTATTATTCTCTGCTTGACATGCTATTTTGTGGCAAGTAGCCTAGAATTTTAGTACACTGACTTGAGTCTTTCTGTCCATAGAAATTTTGGAATGAAGGGGTTGGGCTGCACACAAAGCTTGGATGCTGACACACCTTATTTGTCCCCCATGGTCAAAGAACATTATTAACAAGCATCACTATCTAACATGGCATGCAAATCAGTTTAAAGAAGGACAATGATGGTTCTTTCAGGACATGTAAAATTGACATAAAATTTTCTTCCCTCTTAAGGGTCTTTCTTTTCTCTTTAGCATCTCATAGCCCACCCCTTGTGCTTCCATTGCATCTTCTGCCAGGGCTCACCCTCCTCCTGACTAACGGGTGTTCAGCAGGCATTCCATTCCCCCAGAAGCCTTTCTGGGTCCAGCTCTCCAGGTTTTCCATTAACACCACACTTTCAGCCTTCTGTTGCCATGGTTTGTTTGTATGTTTCATTCACCACCAGGTAGCAAGGTCTTTGAGTACAGGGCATGGGTCTATTTTGTTCATTTCTGTGTCTCAGGGCATTAGCATGGTGCTTGGAATTTGTGTTAAGCTTGATAAATATTTATGAATAAATGAATAGTATTTTTACTTTATTTGATTGATTTTCTCCCTAACAGAAACAAGCCCAAAAGAATAAATAATAACAGGTCCAGATTTCCATCCTCTGCCATTCACTATTAAATCGAGTCACCATTTTTACCAACAAATATCTCTGAGTTAACATCCTTTCTCCTGAAGGAAGCTTATCCAAAATAAGAAGGGGTTGAACTTTTTGGGAGCTAAGTTTTGTGGTTTATTTTATAAAGGATAGAAAATTTAAAACTCCACCTTTTGGTTTTGGTCTGTGTATATTTTGTCATTTAAAAAATCTGCTCAACAAAGGTGGCCCACACATTGTAGAATAAACTAGATAGTACAGCTTTTTCTTGTAAGAAGTCATGCCCACTTTGTGGACAAGGAAATATCACAGAGAGGTTGGTATTCACCTTCTTGCAAGAAGTAACCTCAGAAGTGCCCATATAACCATGAATGAACAGCTACCTTAAGTGGAAGGTGAGACAAATTTGATCCTGGCTGAAGTACGCCTGGATTGCCCCACAACCTGCCAGCCAATGGCAACACTGGATTTTTTTATATAGCCAGTGCATGATATATCCCGCTATGTCCTGTACCCTCTCTCTTTGCAGCTCTTATTCCTCTGTCTCTCTCCTTCTTCATCCCCTCCCTGCCTCCCTTTGTGCTGCACAGAACATCAGAACTGGTGTGCATTAATCTTCTGACTGTTTCAACATCAAGAGAGACAAGGGCACCCGCAGATTGGAAGCAAGACTCTCATTCCCATTCAGGGGCCAGGCTCCCGACATTCTTTTAATCTTGTTACGTTCTGGAGGAATGAGGCATACATTAATTGAATGAGACACAGCATTAATTTTTGCAAGCTACTGCACCATTAGCAGCCAAGACACAGGCTTAGGGTGACCCAAAGGTTTTTTAGTGAGGGCCTCTCCTCTGTCTCTGGGTACTCTGGGAGCTACAGAGGCACACACAGAGAGAGGACATAAAAGAAGGAATAAGAACGAGAGACAGAGGCAAAGAGGGAAGAACAGGGAGCTAGGACTCAGTGTCTTCACATTTGTAAAAATGCTCTACTGGCTGATGTGATTCAAGCTGCGATGTGTACATCACGCATCTATTTCCCTATACCCGCAACCCCGAGGCCTGATCACCAAATTAATGACCAGTGGTGGCCATGCATCTACCCCCTATATTCTTTTAGGTTCTGAGCCTCATGTCTATCTGCACAATTTGCACTGCTGCTGGCCTCTAGGGCAGCGATTTTCAACCAGTGTGCTGCAAGGATCTTAAAAACATGCAATACCTGATTATTTAGCCAAGGACATTGACCTCTTTTTCCTTAGACTGACAAATAAAAAGATGACAAAAGCCAACAACAATAATAATAATAACAACAACAACAAAATAGCCATCCGCTGTAAATGCTCTGTCTTGAACTATAAATATGTAGGTCATGTAATAGAGTAGGATCTTATTAGTCACATTGCATAAGTATGCATCTGATTGGTTAATTCTTGGTACCAGAAATCCTTATATACAAGTATAGGTACTTGATTTTTTAAAAAGTCACTTTGCAGCAAAAAGGGTAGATAATTACTGTTATTATTGTTTTTGGTAAATCAATAAAAATTATACTTATTTTTTCATCAGATCAGCAAAGTGCATATATGTCCATGCCGTGGAATTTTAGTAATTAGTTTATATGTGCCATCAGATGGAAAAGTTTGAAAATTGCTGCTCTAGGGGATCATGGTCCAGAGGATTTGAGCTAAATCTGTTCTGCCTGTACCACTGTTACAAAAGATGAGCTTGTACCTGACACCAGAAATGCTACATCTGCCCACAAACCTCAGTATCTCTATTTGCCACGTTTAGTACTAACAGATATTAATCAGTAGGCTAAGGAGCAAATTCATGCTAATTGAGGATATGAAAACATTAATTATTGTGCTAATGGGTGATTTTTACTGGTTTATTTTAAAACATGTAAAAAGTGTGTTAACCTAAATATGTGGAAGCAGTTCATTGCTGGTTGTGAAATCCCAGGTTATTTTAACTGTGATTTTCAAACTCTTCAGAATCTTTGGTCAAGGGAGATCTCATCCTGAAGCTCAATATGTAAATCTGTTCACTGTGGCTAAAAAAGGAAGGGAGGTTAGGCCGATCCCATCTGGGCCAGCTGAACCCTGGGTCTGTTTTGAGAAGCTCTACAGAATCCCAGGGATGATGCTGTAGAGCCCACCCTCAAGTGCTGTGCCATGCCTCAGTTACTCTCTGCCACTTGGCTTTGCTTTGTCTCTACCAGCAATGACTATCTTTATTATTGTGTGTGTGTATTTGTTCATTGTCAGAGTCTTCTCTTAGTCTGTCAGCTGCGTGAGGGTAGGTGTCTTGTCTGCAGGCTCACTGCTGTATTCTACCAACCACACAGGACTGGGCCCATGGTAGACACCTAAGACTGAGGTCCAGATCTAGTTGGAACTGCTAATCTGAGTGGAATAAAGGAACAGAGGTAAGATGGTGCTGGTGGAAAAGAAAATACTTTGGCTTCCCAGATAGAACCTGCATCAGCTTTGAATCCTTAGAGTGTTATACCATTAATCTCTCAACTCCAGTTATGCACCCATTCTTCCATTCAACAATAAATTTCTACTACTTAAAATGGGCTTTTTCATTGGCCCTTCCTTCTCTTTATTCTGTCCTTGCTTTCTGCTGTTCAGGAAGTAGGGTTTGAGCACCCACTATGTGCAGACCCTGTGCTAATTCTGAGGTGTGAGAGAAAACAGACACAGCCCCTGTCCTCATGGAGACTGTCATCTGCCTGAGGAGAAAGGTATTTATATATGTAATAACATACAATAATAAGAATGTGCGGTAACCAAAAGTAGTTATTGTTGGGGTGGGAAAATTCAGGCTTTCTCAGGTGTAGATGAGGAAGGTAGTTTGGGAGGTGATGGTGGAGAAAACAATGGGGACCTGAGAGCTGAAGGATGAAAAGAAGGTGACCTGGTATAGTATAGGAGTGAAGTATTCTAGGCAGAGAGAAAAGCATATACAAAGTCAGTAGTAGAAGGAGTGTGGCTAACACTTTCTAGTTTACAGCTGCTAGGAGGCTTTATTTAAATTATATGTACCCAGAGACTAACCATGTATGAATGGGAACTTAGTACCAATGGAGATGACACCACAAATCAGAGAGACAGGTTGGATTATTAAATAGTGGAAACACTGACTCACTATTTGGAAAAAAATAAAACTGGACTCCCAGTTAGCACAATGTACAAAGGTAGAGTCCAGTTGGACTAATGACCTCATGTAAAAGTTTGGGAGAAGATATTTGCATTGATTAAAACTGAGCAGGGCCCTGGCTGGTGTAGCTTAGTGGACTGAGCGCAGGCCTGAGAACCAGAGTATCACAAATCGATTCCCAGTTCAGGGCACACGCCTGGGTTGCAGGCCAGTTCCCAGCAGGGGACACACGAGAGGCAACCATATATTGATGTTTCTCTTCTTCTTTCCTTCCCTTCCCCTCTAAAGATAAATGAATAAAATCTTTAAAAAATAATTTATTAAAAAAACTGAGCAGGGACTAATATCTAGGATATACCTTGAATGCTTGCAAATCAGTAAGAGAAAGACAAGAACCTCAATGGGGAAATAAGCAGGACTTATTTTGTAATCTCGTCTCCGTTTCCTTTTGATTTCTGGACTAAGATTCTACAGCACTATAATCTTAGTCGTTTCTTGAAGAGAGGATGAAGATACCCAGACACTGGAGCCACATTGCTGCCAGTGTGTCCCCAACCTGTATACTGAACACCTTGACAGGGCCCGAGGCTAGCAGGATCTTAGTAGGCCACCAGGTGGCACTCCACACATCTCCAACTCAGAAAGGAAAGATTTTCTGGTTGAGTATGCTTTTTTAGTATAAAAAACAGCCTACTTTTGTAATCGCCAACCAAAATGAACAAAATGTTCTCCCTAAATATGTAAGGTGGAGGAATCTAAAATTCTGCTTTTGTTGAGTAATGCTTCAGTGCTTCCTCATGACGATTCCCTTTAGCTCCTCTGGGGAAGCCTAGAGAACACTGGATGTCCTAACCTAAAGGACACAGGACAGGGTATAGAGCTTCCGGCCCTTGAGCACCAGGAAGTAGAGGCAGCATGAATGGTTGCAGAGGAGCAAAGCTGGGGTTTAGGGAGTGGAAAGGGGAGAAAGGTAGCTGCTTGGCTGAAAATCTTTGTGTGGCCAGGCATGCCTCCCACCAACTCTGGTCTTGGTTTCTGGAAAGTTTCAGAGAGCACGGGTTGCATCTTTGAGATACCAGGCTGCATTCACCTGCCTGTGGGATGAGGGTTAGTTAGCAGGCGAGGCAGAGGCTGTTGTACTCTGCCTGGATCTGCTGCCCTCGTCTGAATCTTTGCCTGGGGCTGTGCTCTCTGCCTTAGGAGTTCTCAGCTCACTGAGCTGGCAGTCTGGGTAGGCAAGGGTATTCACGTCTCAGGAGCCTTCCCTACCAATGAGGGACAGCCTCCTCACCTTGGAAGCAGTAATCTTGAGGGGTAATCCCATAGTCAATAAAGTCTCCAGTTGTCTATGGGAGCAACCAGCTCACCTATATACACTGCTGCTTCCTTCCCTTTGCTACCTTTCCCTCTCTCTGGCTTCCTGGGATTGTCTTCCAAATAAACTCCTTGCGCCTGTAGGTAAGCAAAATTTGCCATCCGAAAATGTGTCTCTCTGGGGTGAGGATTATTTTATTTTTTAAGAAACAAAGGACTCAAGAAGAACCTTTGACCTTCCCTCTTATTACCCAAAAGAATTTAGATAGAGGGCCTGTTCCTGGAAGGGAGTTATCCTCCTAGATAACCATAGTATATGTGAACTAGGTATGGCGGGGCCTAGTGATCAGAGTTGGTCTGTCTCCCACTGTCTCTGCATGTACCAGCAAACATCTGTTTACCAAACATGCACCTTTCCACTTCCTTATGTATTGCCTTCCTCTGCTTCAAAGTCCCCAAATACTACCCCTTTCTCCTTAGCTCAGGATGGCCTATGAGCCTCAACTGCCCTATCTGTTCTTGGGCCCCATATTCTTATGGAACCCCTATACACATGTACACAGTTAAATTTGATTATTTTCTCTTGTTAATGTGTCATGTCAATTTTATTCTTAGACTAGCCAGTTGAACCTAGAAGGGTAGAGAAAAATTTCTTCCTCCCTTATATACCTCAGTTGTTGTCTCTGGCTTTGCTTTAGGAAATTCAGATGAAGAGAACAGGATAACTATGTACCTTTGATAAGCAGCTCAGCTGTTTTCAGAGTTCAGATAATAGAGAAAAAATAGAAGAAGCAGATGAGGAAAGGAACTACAATAAACCTCCAAAACAACTCGACCTGCTCTAACTCTTAATTTTTGCAGGCAGTAGTTTTAAGAATCCGTTGTTCAAAAAACCAGTTACTTTGGGTGTACAGAGCTTTCAAAACTAATTTGAACTTGGCTGGTGTAGCTCAGTGGATTGAACGTGGGCCTGCAAACCAGAGTATCTCGGTTTGATTCCCAGTCAGGGCACATGCCTCGGTTGCAGGCCAGTTCCCAGCACGGGACACATGAGAGGAAACCATACATTGATATGTCTCTGCCTCTCTCCTTCCCTTCTCCTCTAAAGATAAATAAATAAAATCTTAAAAAAAAACTAATTTGAAGACAGTCATTGTGAATGAGAAAGTCAGGTTTGACTTTTTCAATTGCCTGCAGTTCTGTCTTTTGAATAGAGAACATACCTTCCCTCAGCTACCACCCGAGGTACAAACCTAGCTCATAAAATATTAATTGGGTGATATTCTTTCCCGGATCTCATAATGGCTTCTGACATTTTAATGCCAGCATTTTGGATGCACACAGAGTGAAGAGAACTGAAACTGGAGGGACAAAGCCTCCTCTGTTTACATTTCAAACCTTCCAGATGTATTCTTTTGGGAAATTCAGCACCTAGCTCAGGCAAGCTTCTTAGCAAGTGTTTAAAGAGGTTAATGGTAGGTTTGTATAAGTTGCTTTTGCTTTATTTAGGTCCCTAGAAATGCAAGTGTCAGCACAAAGTATGTTTATGGTCCCATTAAGTCACCAGGAAAAATATCAAGGCAGTTGTAAAAAAGGAGAAATAAGGTTGGGTGAGTCAGCCTAAGTAAATTAAGAACCAATTTGATGCTAAACTCAGAATGAGCCAGGAGTCACTCCATTCTCCAGCATCTTGTTGAAAGATTATGAACCCTGCTCTTTCATCCTTTCTCTCCTTCTCTTATTTGGGATGGCACAGATTTGGGTTTCTAAATTTCTAGCGTCTTGCCATTCTCATTTCCAAAGCCTTCTGTAAAAGATGAAATTGTTGAATATCCCTCTTGTGGAACTTAGTAAAAAAGTTCTAGGTAGAATATATTTCCTTAAAGTTGAGATGCATTGTACAAAACACAATGAACATGAAACCATTTTGAAGATTCTGAGCACATTGTAACAATTGATACACATGTCCTCATTGTCTACAGTCTTTGAGTCTTACTGAAATGTTTTTGATATTGCTATGAAAGAGTACGAAAAAAACAATTCCATTTATATAAAGTTTAAAAGCTGGCAATAAGCAAAGTCTGCTGTTAGAAATCAAGATTGTCTTTATTCTTATGTGTACTGGTAGTAACTGGGAGGGGACACAAGGAAGGCTTTTGGGGGACTGCTAATATTTTGTTTTTTGGCCAGGTTGTAAATGTTCACTGAGCTATATGTTTGTGATCTGTGCACTTTTCTGTATGTTATGCTTACATAAAAATTAAAAGTTTATTAATATTGTCATATAGGTTAAAATAAAATTTTTTTTCACTCTTGTTAAATCTATGAGTCCCAGATCTCTTGAGGGAATGGGAGTTTTTGCCAGGCCCTGGCCAGCCCGGAGCCTGCTGTTTGGCAGGGTACAGCTTACCTGCAACCTTGGAGTTGTATGCCACTCCGACCCCACAGATATTGTTGTTGGCTGCAGCAGAAACTTCCCCCGCACATCGGGTCCCATGACTGCGGAGACAAAGTCAAGTTAGATATAGTTTCAAAAGACTCTGGAGGAGGTTCCTTAAATTCTATCAACTAGAAGCAATTTGGTTCTTTGCAATGGCTCAGTTAGCCTGAAGCCAGCACTGGCCCACCTGATTTTCCGTCTGTGTATCCCAGTGTCCCTTTTCTTTCTCCTCCCCCTTCAGCTGCCTTCTTGACCTTGGTTTGTTTCTACCAAAAGATGCTTCCTGGAACATTTCAACCTTGAAATTTGATCTTTACTTTAAAATTTAAAGTATTTTCCTGCACAAAACACATTTACAGCAACACTATACAAAACAGGTTTGTATTGGTTGGAAGAGTTCTGATTTTTTTGAAGCACTAGAATTGTGGGCTGGTACTTAATTTCAAGGCTGGCCCATCCATTGGGTTGTAATGCCTGCTGCCTGTCAGTGATGGGATAATGCTTCCTTACCTTTTTTGGATCATAGGCTCCCTTGAAGATGTATTGAGTGCTATGAATTTCCATTTCCTCTAGGAATTAAAAAAGCATATGTTGGCAACATTTTGCATAGTTCCACAGAACCTTGGAGGCTGATCAGATTAAGAACCTCAGGCATTTATTAGATCGCCTTTCTGGGGTTTGCCTGGCCTTATAATTCTGAGCAAGGCCTTTTCTGGGCTCATGTTCTAAAATGTTCTGTGCAACAGACACTGTAATTCCATTAATTTTCTCCCTTTTGCCTGCTCTCTCTTCTATTAAACCATGGGTTCCAAATAGTTCTTCACCTCCTGTGTATATTTTCCCTGTCCTTGAATTGGTCTGGTGACTGGGTTGACCCATAAAATGCAGTGGGGGGATGATGAACCACCTCTCAAGAGGCCTGGAAGCTTCTGTTTCCATCAGCTGGTGCCAGATACCATATAGAGGAGCTTGAGCTAGCCCACGAATGGACAGAGCACATGGAGAGAGAGGCCCAGCAATCTGTAATGTTCCAACATTTTGGATGAGGCACCTGATATGTGCGACAACTTCCTCCTCCAGTCCAGCCAGATCACCCCACTCAGCAGCTATTGGGAAGAGATGGGCTGTCCTTGCCCAGGTTATGGAACTGTGAGCAAATAAATGTGTGCTCTTTTTAAAGCCATTAAATTTTAGGATACTTTGTTAGTGGCACTAGAAAACAGAAACAAGCATAAACTCTAACTCAGTCAAAATGTTGTTTTAGTCCTAAACAGCAAGATGTGGAAGTCATCTGAAACTATCAGTCCTGACCCTGACATGTCCATTTTAAAGGTCTATGAAGCAGCTAAGGGATGAAACAGTCCCATTACCAAGTATGCTAGAACAGGGAGCTCAGCCCGCTAAAGTGCCGGTGTGGGGAGGGCTGGCTTTTCCACTTGCTGCTCAAGCTGTGGTGCACAGTAAGGAGATGTGGGTGCAGGGATTGACTGGCCACAGGGCCCTAGGCAGTTCTGATTTCTGCATTATTGACTAGCAGAGTGTTTGCAACATCCTCTCAGGGCAAGCAAAGCTGTTGCACCAGCCTTTACACAGGCACATATTTTTTTCTGCATGTGAATAAGAGGAAATTCTGCCTCCCAAAACTACTTATGTCCTGGGTTCCAAGATCCCTTTGAAACAAGAATAAAATCTGTATATTGTATTCAAATAAACCCCAAAGTTATTATAAAAGTTGGCCCTTGTGGTGAAAGGTCTATGAAAACTTACAGTGTTGAGCAAACCACTATCTACTAGTCTAAGTTTTCTGTAAACCACATTTGAGTTCTCGAGAAGGTGCTTAGTTAGGGTGTAACTTGACAGGAGAGTGTCATGGATGTGGCTTTAATGGTTGCTGCCTTTTTACTCCAGATGCTGAAGAAATTGATAACTAAAGTATTGACAAACAGCCCAAGACCACACACGTGTATCCATATACATAAAATAATATATATATACCCCTTTATATTGATTCACATATACTTTAAATGTATACACTTACTTAAATATATACTTAAATATATACTTTATTTAAATACATATTTAAGTATATATTCTATATCTACTTATACATTCATGAATATATTCTTATATATTTATATATGATTTATATGTAATATACACCTTTACACTATCTATATACCACATGTCATTTATTTAAATATATACTTATATAAAATACATACCATATACAAAGTGTATATATATGCTTTATATATATGTACATATTTTTTAAAAGTGGGTACTAATTAAATGTGACTTGCTGGCTGTTTGGCTCATACTGAAAAAATTAATTTTTAATAAAAGTTTAAAAATCAATGCCATGTTTAATTTGACTGAGCACTAATTTCCTTATTATTTAATAATCAGCCCTGTCAAGATCTCCCTTCTAAGACGTGCAATGTGCACTTAGGCCTTGCCCGGGCCAGTCAATGCTTTCATCGACAGCTGTGGAGCATGCAGAGGTACTCATGGAAGCCTTGTGTGTGTGGACCCTGCTCTATGAGATGTGGAGCTAGAATGACCAATAGCCATCTGCTAGTTGCTGGGTGGTTATTCATTAACAGGCACTGTGCTCAGTGCTTTTCTTGCTTCACCTGCTTTGATCTTCACAGGAGGGCTACCAGTAGGTACTGCTTCGTTTCACAGCTGTCAAAGTTGAGTCTTAGAGTTGCTGCTGGCTCCAAGGTGCACAGCAAGAAGGTGGCTGAGTCAGATCTGAGACCAGAACTCAATTACTGAACCACTACACTACCCTCCCCTATGGGGTAAGTTCATCTCCCCCTAAAACTGCTCCCTAGTGGCTGGAGGACAAATGCATATGCACTGGCTTGAGCAAGTGAAAGACATTGAATCCTTCCGTATTCTGGATTTTGGCCTTTAAGTGGGGAGATGAATATCATGGACTTTCCAGAGGAACATATGGGAAGAAACATTTCATTGCTAAATTAGGCAAACATTAATTAATTATAGGCAAGTAGTGAAGGCTTCCTGTACTTGTTCCCCACACCATCTTTTCACATGTCTGGGCCTTTGTAAACTTTGTTTCACTGTTTCTAATGGTTTCCCCTCAATCCTGCCTTCCTGATTGTCTCAGGCAAATGTGTTTGCTCCCTGAATATCAGGAAAATATTTTTTCAAATACATTTTCATGTGGGCCTTTTGCTTTCTTAAAACATTCAATAGCTCCCTTTTGTCTCTATAATGAAACCTGTCAGAAATGGACGTAGCTGTAGGAGGTAAGGGACAAATATGATTGCCTGATTGGCCTCCTTCTAATGAAGGTCAATGGGAGGGAAGTGACAGGAGTTATGGGTGTGTTGCATTGCCCAAATGGCCCCAGTCTATTACTCTCTGGGGTCCATGTCCTTGGCAATGTGATTTTCTTGCTTCTGCCATGAGGACTGAAGCATATTTCTTTCTTCCTTGAATCAGGCTGGCCTTGAGACTTGTTTTGGCCAAAAGCATGTGGTAGAAATGAGCTTAGTTCTCAAGAGGCCTTTCTCAAGCTTCCCCTTTCTCTGAAACCCTGCTCAGGTACCATGTGGACAAGTCCAGGATTGCCTATTAGATGACAAAAGGCATGCAATCCCTTGTGCCTCTCACCTCAGCTGATACATCATCCTTCAGACTTGTAAAAGAGGCTGTCCTAAACCAGTGAGCCCCTGGCCAACCTGCCAGCTGAACATGGACTCATGGGTGAGCCCAGCCACAAAGCCCATCCTGGTCCAGATCAGCAGAGCTATCTAGCTGAGCTACGGACTTGTGAGCAATTGTTAATGCTTGTTATTTTAAGCCACTATGTTTGGTATGATTATTATGTGGCATTATTTGGCAATAGATAACTGATACAATGGATAAACAAGGCTGGAGGGACAACACATGGTTAACCCGTGGAGTAATGGCGTTAAAACCTGGACTGTCATGATGACCACTGGGGCTTCCAAAACAGCTGCAGTTGCTGTGGAGATATCCAAGTAAAAATCTGAGGTCTCACCCCTGCCCCTGGGAACCTTCAGTGAGAGAGGGCAGGCACACACATTCTCTCCATGTTGCCAGCTTTCCTTTAGAGTGATTGCTCATTCCACTTATTCTTTCTAGCCAAACACATGTTTTTCTACATGTGCTACATTCGAGTCATAGAATAAGATATAATGAGCAATATGAGTATAACAAGTATCATTTATTGGTAGCTACTATGGGCTAAGCACTGTGCTGAGAGTTTAGAATGCATTATTTTATTTAATCCTTACAACAAACTCTTATTCCCACTTTAAAGAAGAAGGAGTTGAGGCATAGAGATATTAAGTCACTTCTCATTAGGAGGAAGAACCAGAATTCAAATTCAAGTTTGCTGCTTCTAAACCCCTGCTCTTAACCTTGACCCTTGACTGTCAGAATTGCTGGCTATCAGATATTGCTGACTATCAGATATTGCTGGCTATCAGAAATGTGCAAACAAAAGTGTGATGTTTTATTTTATGTGTAACTTGACTCTGCCAGGGGGGTGCTTAAATATTTGGTCAAACATTATTCTGGATGTTTCTGTAAGGATGTTTTAAATGAGATTAACATTTATGTAGGTGAAATTTGAGTAAAGCAACATACATAATTCTGTGCATGGCCAGTCAAGGCTTCCTAGATAGTCTCAATGCCAAAGGAACCTGTAAGTACAGAGCACACTCATGTATTTTATATTGGTATATATATTTATTTTATTTTTATTTTTATTTTATCTATTTATTTTAATCCTCACCTGAGGATATTTTTTAAAATCAATTTTAGATAGAGAGGAAGGGAGAGAGAGAAACACTGATGTGAAAGAGAAACATTGATTGGGTGCCTCCCATAAGCACTCCATCCAAGGATCAAACCTATAACCTAGGTATGTTCCCTGATTAGAAATTGAACCTGCAACCCTTTGGTGTATGGGACAATGTTCCAATTAACTGAGCCACCTAGGTAAGGCATTATATATTTTTAAAATAATTAAATATAGAGAGATACCATTGAAGCCCTTCTTGTAGGCATTATACCTTAGCCTGGACCACTACACTGAGTTTGACAACTGGAACAGCCACACATGCATGTTTTTATGCAATTACCTTATAATCAGGTCCGCATGTACATACATTTTCAAACTTTATATAAATGTTTCATAGTATATGATCTATTCAAAATTTGCTTCATTTATTTGTATTTTTGAGGTTTATTCATGAATTTGTTTTTAGTGCCATGTGTTCACTTATACATATGCTGCTTTACTTATTCATACTCCTAATTAAAAGTATTTGGATTGTTTGCAATTTTCATGCTATTACAAATAATCTGAAGAAAACATTCTTGTATATTATTTCCTTGGGCTGATGTGGAGGGTTTCTCTGAAGGTATGTATTGGGTTGACCAAAAAGTTCATATGTTTTTTTCTGTAAAATAAAAGATGCATGTTTCATTTTCACTAATAACTTTATTGATTTAGATATTTTGAATATGTTGGCTATCTCGCATGTCATATAATGTTCATTGCTCCCAATTAATGTCTCTATTTGATCACTATCCACTTCACTTTGACACATTTGATCAGTCACAGCAGTTTCTCCATACACTACACAAATCATTTTTTGTGTTTCATTTGCATTTCTACCTTTTTTGAAATAATAAAGCATAGTATGGAAAAAATGTTGCATGTTTTCTTCCATCTTCAATATTAAAATGGCTGTGCAAAAATTCATGAATTTTTATGAGTTTTTAAAAAAAATGCACAATGATATGACAGCTGTCACAATTCAATATAACAAAATTGTTTCAAATAAAGTTAAAGACAACTAAGTGCTACTAGAGTTATTTTATGGAAAAAAACTCAAACAAACTTTTTTGTCAATCCAATAAATAAGGGTGAAAACAGATTTATGGATATATACTACCTCCTGCTCAAGCATCCTTGTCAACATTTAGTATCAGCAAAATTTACCATCTTTGCTAGTCTAATGGTGTAAAATGGTAGCTTGTTTCATTTTGCATTTTCCTCTTTACTAGGAAGGATGATTATCTTTTCATATGTAAACTCACTTGGGTGTTCTATTAATCACTTGTGCATAACTTCTGTCCATTTTTCTAGTATCTTTTCTCTTTGATTTGTAGCCATTCTTTATATATTTTGGACATTTAATCCTGTTTTTTTAAAATAAAACTTGTTGCACATATCTTCTCCTAGTATGAGACTTGTATTTCAACTTTATTTATTGTGACTTTTTTTGGAGAGAAATATTTAATTTTAATATAGTCATGTGTATCAATATTTTCATTTTTCTTGTGGTTCAGTGTTTTGTTTAAAAATTTATTCTTATCTTAGGATTATAAAGATGTTTTTCTACATTTTAATTCTAAAATATTTCTATACATTTAGGTCTTAATTATCCTGGATTTTATTTATGCTCAGAATGTGAGGTGGACACCTATTTTTCCATATGAACAACTAGCCTTATTTATTAAATATCATCGCACCATCCTTTCCTCATTGTTTTAATTGCCATCTTGGTCATGTCTTTGTATATGGGGATAGGGGGTGGCGTCTGCTTTCTATTTTTTCTTGACCTTTTATTTTCTCCATGTGTTAGCCCTGCTCTCATATTTATTATGGTTTTTATAATGTTTTGGTATCTGGTAGGCAAAGTTTCCCCAACTTAATGTTGTTGTTGATCTCCTTCTTTCTTCTTCATATTCTTTTTCCTCCTTCTCCTCTCTTGGCTTCTTCATCTATTCTTGGTCTTTTGCTTTTTTATATCAATTTCAGGATCACTTTTTCTAATTTCACAGGAAGTGCTATTGAGTTTAATTGAAATTGCATTGAATTAATAGATGAACTTGATATCCTTATATTATTATATCTTTTAATTTATGAACTTAGTATGTTACTCTATTTATCTAGGAATTCTTTTATGTGTTTTCTAAGTTTTATAATTTCTTCTTTAACATTCTCACATACTTTTTCTTAGATTTTAATTATTTCAGTGGCCATGAGATATGGCATACTTTAAAAAAGGAGGTGAGAGGCAGTATTCTTATTTGTCCCTATGCTATTAAAATTTCAGCATTAAGAATAATGTTTGCTGTAGGTTTTTGGTAGGCAGTGTTATCTTTAATTAATTAATTATTTACTCAACTGCAACCAGGCTACATTTTATCTCATTCATTGGGATTTTATTCCAGAGGCTGTATTTTCCAATTGCAATTGGTTCTTTTTCATATTCATGTATATTTTTGCTTGCATTTCTAAATCACTTTTTGTTTTAAACAGATGTTATTCATTCTGAGCAAATGTGCAGATAAAAAGTACAGTGGTTAATTTTATGTTTCAACTTGGCTGGGTCACAGGTTGCTTAGATATTGGCCAAACATTATTCTGGGTGTTTCTGTGAGAGTTTTAAACATAACTTATTTTAATGTCTTTAAAAGACTCTCCGTAAAATTAATTTCACCTGTATAAATTCATGCCCTGTTTTTTATTTTGTTGAGTATGGTTTTTTTTTTCAGATATTTCTGAATTTTGGTATGCAGGCTAATTTTGAGTTGGAGATTTTTTCCTCTTCTTTTTTCTTTCCCTTCCGTTAAGTCTCTGTCAGTGGCCTTTGGTTCTATGGTTGTTTTAATAGACTCCTTACTTCTATATTCCACAGCCACAGCTTATAATGGTGTTTTAGGGCTCTGGATTCACAGAAATATTGGGAATAACACAGATTTATCTAGAAAGCCAGTGGGAGACTTGACC